GATAAGAACTCACCAACCAACTATCTTCTGCCTTCAGGAGACTCGCCTAACTCATAAGGACTCACATAAACTTAAACTAAAGGAGTTAAAAAAGACATTTTATGCAAATGGACACCAAAAGTGAGCAGGAATAGCTATTCTTATATCAGGAAAAACAAACAAACAAACAAACTTTAAAGCAACAGAAGTTAAAAGAGACAAAGAGGTTCATTATATAATGATAAAAGGCCTTGTCTAACAGGAAAATATTATAATCCTAAACATATATGCACTTAACACTGGAGCTCCCAAATTTATAAAATAATTATTAATAGACCTAAGAAATATGATAGCAACACAATGATAGTGAGGGACTTCAATAGTCCAGTGACAGCACTAGACAGGTCATCAAGACAGAAAGTCACCAAAGAAACAATGGATTTAAACTATACCTTGGAACAAATGGACTCAACATATATATACAAAACATTTCATCTAACAACTGGAGAATGCACATTTTATTCAACAGAGTATGGAACTTTCTCCAAGATAGACTATATGGTAGGCCATAAAACTAGCCTCAATAAATTTAAGAAAATTAAAATCATATCATGCACTCTCTCAGACCACAATGGAATAATACTGGAAATCAACTACAAAAGGAATCTTCAAAACAATGCAAATACATGGAAATTAAATAACCTCATCCTGAATGAGCATAGGGTGAAAAACAAAATCAAAATGGAAATTAAATATTATTCAAACTGAATGACAATAATGACATAACCTACCAAAACCTCTGGGGTACAGCTAAGGCACTGCTAAGCGGAAAGTTCATATTCCTAAATGTCTACATCAAAAAGTATAAAATTGCACAAACAGACAATCTAAGGTCACACCTCCACCAACTAGAAAAACAAGAACAAAGCAAACTCAAACCCAGCAGAAGAAATGAAATAACCAAGATCAGAGCACAGCTAAATGAAATTGAAACAAACAAACAAAAATACAAAAGATAAATGAAACAAAAACCTGGCTTTTTGAAAAGATGAATAAAATCGATTGACCATTAGCAAGATTAATGGACAAAAGATGGGAGAAAATCCCAAATACTTCACTAAGAAATGAAACAGGAGAGGTTACAACTGACACCACTGAAATACAAAAGATCATTCAAGGATACTATGAACATCTTTAAACACATAAACTAGAAAACTTAGAAAAGGTGGATACATTCCCAGAAAATACAACCCTCCCAGCTTAAATCAGGAAGAATTAGATACCCTGAACAGACGAATAACAAGTAGTGAAAATGAAATGGCAATTAAAAATTACCAACAAAAAAATGTTCAGGACCATACGGATTCACAGCAGAATTCTATGAGATAGTCAAAGAAAAATTGGTATCAATCCACTTGACACTATTGCACACGTTAGAAAAAGAAAGAACCCTCCCTAGTTCATTCTAAGAAGGCAGCATCACCATAATACCCAAAGTAGGAAAGGACACAACCAAAAAAGAAAAGTACAAACCAATATTCTTGATGAACATAGATGCTAAAATCCTCTGAAAAATACTAGTTAACTGAATCCAACAATACATCAAAAAGATAATGCACCATGATCAAGTGGGTGTCATACAGGGATGCAGGGATGGCTTAACATAAACAAATCAATAAATGATCCACCACATAAATGGAATTAAAAACAAAATTCATGTGATCATCTCACTAGATGCAGAAAAAGCATTCAACAATATCCAGAATTGCTTTATGATTAAAACTCAGAGCAAAATTGGCATACAAGGGACATACCTTAATATAATAAAGCCATCCATGACAAACCCACAGCCAACATAATACTGGATGGGGAAAAGTTAAAAACATTCCCTCTGAGAATAGGAACAAGATAAGGATGCCCATTCTCACCACTCCTCTTCCACATAGTACTTGAAGTCCTAGCCACAGCAATCAGACAAGAGAAAGAAATAAAGGGCATCCAAATGGGTAAAGAGGAAGTCAAGCTGTTTCTATTTGCTGATGATATGACTGTTTGCTTTGAAAATCCTAAGGACCCCTCCAGAACGCTCCTAGAACTAATATGTAATTTACCAAAGTTTCTGGATACAGGGTTAAAATACACAAATCAGTAGCTCTTTTATACACCAACAATGACTAAGTAAAAAGCAAATCAAGAACTCAATTGCTTTTACAATAACTGCAACAAATAAAATAAAATACTTAGAAATATAACTAACAAAATAATCAAAACACTTCTACAAAGAAAACTACAAAACACTGCTGAAAGAAATCATAGATGACACAAATAAATGGAAATACATCCCATGCTCATGGATGAGTAGAATCAATACTGTGAAAATGACCATCTTTCCAAAAGCAATCTACAAATTCAATGAAAGCTCCACCAAAATACCACCATCGTTCTTCACCGAGTTAGAAATAACCGATTCTAAAATCCATATGGCACCAAAAAAGAGCCCACATAGCCAAAGCAAGACTAAGCACAAAGAACAAATCTAGAGGCATCACACTACCTGATTTTACTATAAGGCCATAGTCACGAAAACAGCATGGTACTGTTATAAAAATAGACACATAGACCAATGGAACAGAATAGCGAATCCAGAAATAAATACAGCCAACTAATCTTTGACAAAGCAAACAAAATCATAAAGTGGGGAAAGTACACCCTTTTCAACAAATGGTGCTGGGATAATTGGCTAGCCACATGTAGGGGAATGAAACTGGATTCTCATCTCTCACCTTATACAAAAATCCACTCATGATGGATTAAGGACTTAAACCTAAGACCTGAAGCTATACAAATTCTAGAAGATAACATTTGAAAAAACTCTCCCAGATATTGGCTTAGGCAAGGATTTCATGACCAAAATCTCAAAAGCAAGTGCAACAAAACAAAGATAAATAGCTGGGGCCTATTAAACTAAAGAACTTTTGATTGGCAAAAGGTAGAGTCAGCAGAGTAAACAGACAAGCCACAGAGTGGGAGAAAATCTTCACAATGTATACATCTGACAAAGGACAAACATGCAGAATCTACAATGAACTCAAATCAGTAAGAAGAAAACAATCTCATCAAAAAGACAATTCTCAAAAGAACATATATGAAAGACCAAAAACATATGAAAAAATGCATACATCACTAATTATCAGGGAAATGCAAATCAAAACCACAATGTGATACCACCTCACTCACATAAGAATGACCATAATTAAAAAAACAAAAAACAGTAGAGGTTGGTGTGGATGCAGTGAACAGGAAACACTTCTACACTGCTGGTAGGAATGTAACCTAGTACAGTGACTATGGAAAACAGTGTGAAGATTCCTTAAAAACTAAAAGTAGGACTACTATTTGATCCAGAAATCTCACTATGGAGTACCTACTCTGAGGAAAATAAGTCATTATTAGAAAAAGATACTTACACATGCATGCTTGTAGCAGCACAATTTACAATTGCAAAATCGTGGAACCAACCCAAATGCCCATGAGTCAATGGAGGGATAAAGAAACCTTGATACACACACATATATATGTGTGTGTATAATACATATATATATTCGGTATGTGTATATACATACATGTATACATACATATGTATATGCATGTGTGTATGTATATATGTATGTATATGTACATATATGTATATATGTATGTGTATATATGTATATATCCATACATATATACATGCATATATATGTATATATGTATGTATATGTGTATACATACATATGTGCATGAATGTATACATACATATGTATGTATGTGTACATATATACACGCATACATACATATATGTGTGTATACATATGTATATATATGTGTGCTTGTAGAATATTATGCATATGTATGATGGAATGCTATGCAGCCATAAAAAGGAATGAACTAACAGCATTTGCAGTGACCTGGATGAGACTGAGGACTATTATTCTAAGTGAAGTAACTCAAAATGGAAAACCAAGCATTATATGTTCTCACTGATATGTTGGAGCTAAGCTATGAAGATGCAAAGGCATAAGAATGATACAATGGACTTTCGGAACTTGGTGGGAAGAGTAGGAAGAATGGGAAGGGGGTGAGGAATAAAAGACTACAAATATGGTTCAGTGTATACTGCTTGAGTGATGGGTGCACCAAAATCTCACAAATCGCCACTAAAAAACTAACTCATGTAACCAAATATCACCTGTATCCCAATAACTGATGGAAAAACAAAATTAAATTTACAAAAAGGAGTTTGAGGCCAGCCTGGCCAACATGGTGAAACTTTGTCTCTAACAAAAATACAGAAATTAGCTGGGTGTGGTGGCCTGTGCCTATAATCCCAGCCACTCAGGAGGCTGAGGTGCGGAAGATCATTTGAACTGGGGAGGCAGAAGTTGTGGTGAGCCGAGATTGTGCCACTGCACTCCAGCCTGACTGACAGAAAAAGACTGTGTCTCAAAAAACAAAAATTAAAAAGCTAATAAATAAATAAAGGTTGGGTAGAAAAGCAAGGTATTTCATAGAAGTTATTTTATTATCATAATAGTATGGTTTCCTATGTTTAAGATCTACTTATTATACTATTTGTACAAGTAGCAAAGTCCTTCTGGGGTTTTTTTTTTCCCCCAGCTGAATGTACATGAATATACAAAGCCACTGATGGCCACACTGCTTGCCCTACCCTACATCAGGGTTTGCAGGAAGTTATGGTTTGGCTGATGAGCAGCTCCAGAAGCAGTGGTGGTTCCTCTTCTCCAGCTCCAGCACTCTCATCAATCATCCTCTTGCTGATTTTTTTTCTGTCAAAGCAAACCAAGAGGACATTAAAATAGCACATTCTCCTTGGGACACCTACTCAGTCAAGATCACGTCTTCTGTCAGCAGGTGTTAGTTTCTAGAGATCGTGACAAAGGATGTGATTAGAAATTGTCATGGAAAACCATGCTTTAACTAATTCATTAAACTAGTGTATCACTTTGAAAAACAAAACATCATTTCTAAAAACTTTATCTTGTTTATGCCCTGTGAATTTTAAATGCAATCATAGATATTGTTCTCATTGCTAGAATGAAATAAGATTTATCTACACTCCATGGCTGATAAATAGCAGAAGTGTGAATTGTCTTTGCATACGCTTTTCCCACATGGTATTAGTACATTTATCTCACCCATCTTTTCTATTAAAAAATTATTAAATACTTTGGGAGGCTGAGGTGGGTGGATCACAAGGTCAAGAGATGGAGACCATCCTGGTCAACATGGCGAAACCCCGTCTCTACTGAAAATACAAAAATTTAGCTGGGCATGGTGGTGCGTGCCTGTAATCCCAGCTACTCAGGAGGCTGAGGCAAGAGAATTGCCTGAACCCAGGAGGCGGAGGCTGCAGTGAGCCGAGATCATGTCATTGCACTCCAGCCTGGGTAACAAGAGCGAAAACTCCGTCTCAAAGAAAAAAAAAATATTAAATACAATATATTTCAAAAAGAATATAAAACATAAATTATAATAAAGTGAGATGTAGTGCAGGAATGATTTATTGATACAAAATCTACTAATAAAATTTAATAGAACTAAGGATAAATTTATGTAATTCTTTATGGAAAAAGGTAGCTGGCAATATTTGACACAATTCTAGTTGATATATAATACATTAAGTAAAAAAAAAAAAAAAAAAAAAAAAAAACTTTTCTCAACATGGCAAATAAACCAGCCACTTGATTTATGAGAAAATTTTAGAGTCATTTCTACTAAATTTTAATCAAGACATGAAGGTCATTATCTTTACTACAATTAAACATGTGTTTAGAGGCATAGACAAAAAAAGTTAGACAAAAGAAGACAATCAGTTATGTCAAAAATAGAGAGGGAGAGGTAATCTGTCTTTAGTTGCAGTTCATATGGACGAACATTTTGGAAACTGTTATAAAGTTCAAGAGAGTATATAGAGGAAAATAATGACATAAAGTTTAAATTGAGACGTGTAGAATTTTATACAATAAGAACAATAAACTGTTCATAATATCAATAAGAAAGATAAAGTAACTAAGCATAAATTTAACAAAACATATATAAAACCTACATGAATAACAATTTTAAACATTTTAGAAATACATAAAAGTAGTCACTTTTTATTAAATCAGTGATTTTCTTCCAATCTTCTTTAAATTCTAATTGTCTCTTCTTTTCCCTTTTCAGTCTCTGTACTTTGAGCACTCAAAGAGTATTGCTTATAATGTAATTTATCAATATTACCTGATATTTGAAGATATGCAACCATGCAATATGGTAAAGAAAAAATAAAAACGAAGGGTAGCATTTATATCTGTAGTGATTTCAGCATAGCTGGAAAAAATCCCTATGTTTGTCAGGTGACATTTTTATGTTCTACTTACCCAATATATGAGGTCTTAGAACTTTGTCAATTTCTATAAAATATCAAATAAGGGGAATGCTACAGCTCAGAACAATAATCTTTTGTCAGTTAATCTGCCTTCTCATATGAAAAAATAACAAGGAAATGTTTTTCTTTTTTCTTAGGAAATTCTAGCTGATTTTATATCTAGTAAATTAAGCTTTGTTATTTGTTATCCTTATCTCCTCTAGAAAACACTATGCAAATAATATCAAGCCATGCAATAACCACAAAAAAAAAAAAAAAAAAAAAAAAAAAAACGTGGTATTGGGTTCTCCGTTTTTTCTAAGACATTAAATGATGCATTTATTTAAGTATATTTTACAAGAAATGGAGCAAGATGGTGGAATAGAAAGCTTGATCTCTTTCTCTCCACCCCTCACCAAGACACCAAGTTAACAAATGCCTACACAGAAAAAAAAAATCTTCATAAAAAACAAAAATCAGGTGATCATTCATAATACCTGCTTTTAACTTTATATCACTGAAAGAAGCACTGAAGAAATTAAAAAAAAATAAAATAAAACAGTTCTGAATCACAGATGCTACCCCTCCTCACTCCTCCACAGCAGCAGTGTGGTTTGGAGACCATTTCTGGGCATTGGAGGAGGAGAACATAGCAAGACTGAAGCAATGAACTCAAAGTAGAAAGAAAACGCAGACCAAACACAGCTAATACCCACTCACAGAGGGAGCACTTTAACCAGTCCTCATCAGAGGGGAACCACCCATTACAGTGATCAGAACTTGAGTGCCTATGAACCTCACCACAGAGGACTACAGTGCTCTGTGTCTCTAGGTAAACTTGAAATGCATTCTAGGCCATAAGGATTGCAACACTTAAGTGAGTCTTAGTGTAGAACCATGCCCAGAGACAGTAGACTGGAGGTTATGTGACATACTGAGACACAGGATAAGACATCCAAGGTAGTGCTGGCATCACTACTTCCTAACCCCATGCTATACAGCTTTTGGCTCCAAAAGAGACCCCTTCCTTGCACTTGAGAGTAGAGAGAAGAGGGGGGACCATTTTGTCTTGAATCTAGGATACCATTTCAGGATAGGGCACCAGTCAAAGTCTTGAAGACCCTGATCCAGGATCTAGCTATCAGATGACATTCCTAGACACAACCTGGACCAGGAAGGAAGCTTTTGCCTTAACGGGAAGGACCCAGTCCTGGCAACATTCATCACCTGCTAACTGAAGAGCCCTTGGGCCCTGAATAATAAGCAGTGATACTCAGGTACTACATGCAGAGCCATGGATGAGACATGGTAGCTTCAGGTAAGACTCAACACATTACAGGTATTGATCGACTTACGACCTATGCAACTTATGACCATTCGACTTTACAACCCCAATCGCTAGCCACGACTGCTCCGCGTCTGACAGCGCAAACGTTGCCAAGCTGAGTGTACAACAGTGCGGACCAGCTTCCGGCAGCGCTACCATCTCCGCGTGCACCATTTCAACTGTACATATAGCTTACTCAACTTATGACCAAATCGTGTTACCACCGGTCCACCGTCCCGACCATGGTCGTAAGTCGAGCACTAACTGTATCAGCTTCATTGGACATGGTTTAGAACTTCTTCTGTTTGAGAAAAGCAGAGGGAAGTTTGAAGGGGACTTTGTCTTGCATTTTAGGTACCAGCATGACCACAAGGGTGTAGAGCACCATTGGGCTCTTGGGGTCCCTGTTTCCAGGACTTGACTCTTGGATGACATTTCTGGACCTACCCTAGGCTGGAGGGAAATCAACCTCCCTAAGGGTTGAGTTCCAGGCAAGGTAGCATTCACCACAAGCTGACTTACAAGCCCTTGGGTTGGCTGGGAACCGCAGCTCAGTGTTCCAAACAAGCCTGGGCAACATGGAGAAAACCCCAACTTTACTAAACATACAAAAAAAATTAGCCTGGTGTGGTGACATGTGCTTTGAGATGGGAAAATTGCTTGAGCCTGGGAGGCAGAGATATGCCACTGCGCTCTAGCCTCCATAACTGAGTGAGAGAGACTTTGTCTCAAAAAAAGAAAGAAAGAAAGAGAGAGAGAAAGAAGAAAGAAAGAAAGAAAGAAAGAAAGAAAGAAAGA